CAGCTTTTCAGCTCAAGGTTAGCACTCTACCACTTGAGCCACAGTGACACTTCCGGCTTTTTTCTTTTTGCTTATGTGGTGCTGAAGAATCGAACCCAAGGCCTCATGCATGCAAGGCAAGCACTCTACCACTGAGCTACCTTCCCAGCCCAGGAACTGGTCCTCTTTTGGCCTCTGATAAGCCTATCTGGCAAAGCGTCCTCATAGGGCAGTACACCAGTTCTACCCCAGTCCAGTACCTCTGTCGTAGTATATGCTCATATCCACATCCCAGTCATCAGCTGTCTGCTCATCAAAGTCTGCAGGATATAAACATATTGCATAGTAGGTTAAGGACTCAGAGTTCTGTTGAGAGTGAAATGTAGAGTTAGACACTATGTATAGAACCTGGTGTTTTGATTTGTATTTTCAAGTGTTCTCCTCTGGGATTATTTAGAATTAGAGTGCAGAAATGGCTTTTCTGTCCATCTCACTGATTCCTTATTACATAGTAGGATCAGTGGTGTCTCATATATAATAAAGGCAAGCCTTCCCTAGCTTTATTTATTTACTTTTTCTGGTGGTACTAGGGTTTGAACTCAGGGCTTCAAACTTCTCAGCTTGCTTGTTCTGCTGGCATTCCACCACTATAGCCATGTATTCAGCCTGGCTTTTAGTGGAAATAGGAGTCTCTTGGACTTTTCTGCTTGGGCTGGCTTCAAACAATGGTCCTCCAGGTCTCAGCCTCCTGAATAGCTAAGATTACAGGAATGAACTACCAGCTTCCAGCTTTCCTAGCTTTCTATTTGGACTCATTATCAGGAAATAAACTGAGTAGAGTAGAAAACCCAGAGATAATGCAATAGGGATCATCCCTGTCCTAACGTGGATGCCAGCCCGCTTTAATTTGCACATTAAAACAGCCCCCAGACTCCCATACGTTAAAGGCTCAGTCCTAGCATGGCACAGCTGAGAGGTGAGAGAAATGAAGTGGGCCTAGTGGGAGGTTTTAGGATACTGGAGATATGCCCTTAAAAGGGTCTGTAGGACTTTGGTCTTTTCCTTTCTATTTCTCTTTTTCCTTTTTTCTGCCGGTCGTGGGGCCTGAACTCTGGGCCTGGGCACTGTCCCTCAGCTCTTCAGCTCAAGGCTAGCACACTACCACTTGAGCCACAGCACCACTTTGGGCTTTTTCTGCTTATGTGGAGCTGAGGAATGGAACCCAGGGCCTCAGGCATGCAAGGCAAGCGCTCTACCACTGAGCCACCTTCCCAGCTCCCTCCTCTCTGTTTCTTATCAACAAGTTAAATTGGTTTCCTGAGCTCTTACCACAATGTGCTACCTCATCATAAGCCCCAAAACAACTGGGCATGCATTGGTGGCTCACTTTTGTTATCCTAGCTGAGATCTGAAAATTACTGTTCAAAGCCAGCCTGCGCACCAAAAACAAAACAAAACTGGGCTGACCATGGACTGAGATTTCTTAAACTATTAGCCCAAATAAATCTTTTTTCTTTTTTCTTTTCCCTGAGTAGCTGGGGAATGAACTCAGAGCTTCTCACATGCTAGGCAAATGCTCTGCCACTCTCACCATGCCTTGAGTAAGTACCCCTGGACAAAGGCTTTTGGGCAGCAGTTAGGGCGTAGGGATTGAACTCAGGGCTTCCTATTTGCTGGGCAAGAGTACTACCACTTGAGTCACACTTGTAGCAACCTCCCTTTTTTCCTTCCTTCTTTCTTTTCTTTTTCTTCTTTTTGGTCGGTCATGGGCCTTGAACTCTGGGCCTGGGTGCTGTCCTTGAGCTGTTTAGCTCAAGGCTAACACTCTACCACTTCAGCCACAGCACCACTTCCAGTTTTCTGAATGGTTTATTGGAGATAAGAGTCTCACGGACTTTCCTGCCCAGGCTGGCTTTGAACCGTGATCCTCAGATCTCAGCCTCCAGAGTAGCTAGGATTACAGGCCTGAGTCACTGGCACCTGGCCTGGGCTGGCTTTGAACCATGATCCTCAGATCTCAGCCTCCAGAGTAGCTAGGATTACAGGCCTGAGTCACTGGCACCTGGCCTGGGCTGGCTTTGAACCATGATCCTCAGATCTCAGCCTCCAGAGTAGCTAGGATTACAGGCCTGAGTCACTGGCACCTGGCCTGGACTGGCTTTGAACCATGATCCTCAGATCTCAGTCTCCTAGCTAAGTAGCTAGGATTATAGGCATGAGGAATCCGTGCCCAGCTTCTTCTCTTCTTCTTCTTCTTTTTTTTTGGTCGGTTGTGGGGCTTGAACTGTGGGCCTGGGCACTGTTCCTGAGCTCTTCAGCTCAAGGCTACCACTCTACCACTTGAGCCACAGCACCATTTCCCTTCCTTCCTTCTTTCTCGCTTTCCTGCCTTCCTTCCCCTTCCTTCCTTCCTTTCTGCCTTCCTTCCTTCCTTCCTTGCCTGCCTGCTTTCCTTCCTTCCTACCTTTTTCCTTTCTACTTTTTTCCTTCCTACATTCCTTTATTCCTTCCTTCCTTCCTTTCTTTCCTTCCTTCCTTCTCAGTCCTGAGGCTTGAACTCAGGTTCTGGGCAGTGTCTCTTAGCTTTTCCACTCAAGACTGGCATTTTACCAATTAAGCCACAGCTACACTTCCAGCTTTTTGGTGGTTAATTGGAGATAAAAGTCTCATGGACTTTCCTGCTAGGTTGACTTCAACTCCTGATCCTCAGATCTGTCTCCTGAGTAGCTAGAATTACAATTGTGAGGCACTGGCATCGGGTTTCCTTTATTCTTTTCTTTACCTTTTCTTGAGACAGAGTCTCCTTTTGTAGTAGGCTGGTCTTAAACTATCATCCATTCTGCCTCCACCTCCTAGCACACCTCCCAAGTGCTGGGATTACTGGCTTGGCTTAAACCTCTTCTCTTTAGAAGTTCATTTATCTCAAGTATTTGTTACAATAAGAGATAGCTGAACAACCCAGAGCCTTACCTCCTTCTTCCTCTTGCCAGAACTGGGCATCAGTGTAGAACACCAGGCCAGAGCCTCCCTTCTCCCACTTAAGCTCAATCTCCTCTTCAAAGAGCCGCTCGGTGGTCCGCTCCTGCCTGGTCACGTCATCATGCAGTGCTTCGTGCCGCTCCCACTCCTCACCCCGGTCATCATCCTGGGAGAAGTGTGGAAAGGGGACCTGTTTATCCAGCTTCCTGATTTCAAGGCTTAGAAGCACAGGAGGATGAGATAGGGCTCTCAACCCCATGCCTTCAGGTTTCTCTAGAAATAGTGCATATGTAAACCTGAGAACCTTGCCCAACACACCCTTTACACTTCTCAACATGTGCTTCTCCCCGGCCCCCACCCTCAAGGCTGATCGCTCTTAGCTCTGCTTTTGACTTGTGTTAGTTTCCCTGCATGAACTGTGTGCCTTCCTCCCACATCCTTTGCTTCTTCACTTGGTTAAATCTTCCTCCTGCAGCTACATGAAACCCTCCCACTTAGGCTCATGCACTCTCATGGCCTCTGAGCACATGTTAGGCCTTTATATATTACAGAGAAAGGACAAGAACTAACACACTAGCATTGCCTGTGTGTCAGACCCTTTCTTTTTCTCTTTTTTCTTTTTTTGTAGGTCGTGGGGCTTGAACTCTGGGCCTGGGCTCTGTGCTTCAGCTCTTCGGCTCAAGGCTAGTGCTATACCACAGCACCATTTCTGGTTTTCTGGTGATTTGTTGGAGATAAGAGTCTCATAGATTTTCCTGCTCAGGCTGGGCTTTGAACCGTGATCTTCAGATCTCAGCCTCCTGAGTGGCTAGGAATACAGGCATGAGCCACCAATGCCTGGCTCAGACCCTTTCTGTAACTCAATTCCATTCATCATCCCAGTGACCTTGTAAGCTAACTTTATTATTCCCATTCTCCAGTTGAGGAAACCTAGGCTCAGAAGAGTAAAGTGATTTTCCTATAATAATACACTAAGAGTATAGCAGAGCCAGAATGCAAATCCAGTGTGGCCTTTCCAGATGCTGGTTCTCTCCAAGATTGTAAGCTCTCTGAAGGCAAGTAAATGGATTGTAGAATGTCTTTGGAATTATGCACTAGTCCCTGGTGTACAAGCGTTGACTAGGCTTGCAGAATGGCAGGATAAGCCCCTCTCCTGGTCAAACTATAGCACATCACTAGAATCAACACTGTAAAACAAGTCAGAAGAGAGCCACAATGGGGCTGGGAAGGTGGCTCAGAGGTAGAGCGCTTGCCTTGCAGGCATGAGGCCCTGGGTTTGATTCCTCAGCACCACATAAGCAGAAAAAGCCGGAAGTTGCGCTGTGGCTCAAGTGGTATAGCGCTAACCTTGAGCTGAAGAGCTGAGGGACAGCGCCCAGGCTCAGAGTTCAGGCCCCAAGACTGACAAAAACAAAAACAAAACAAAGACATAAAACAGTGACACACTAAGGATGTGAGCTGATATTGGAGCAATGCTAAGCTGGGTACTTTGAAGCATGGGTGCCTTACTTTTTTTTTTTGCCAGTCCTAGGACTTAAACTCAGGGCCTGGACACTGTCCCTGAGTTTCTTTTGCTCAAGGCTAGCACTCTACCACTTAAGCTACAGCACCACTTCTGGCTTTTTCTGTTTATATGGTACTGAGGAATCAAACCCAGGGCTTCATGCATGCTAGGCAAGCACTTCACCACTAAGCCAGATTCTCAGTCCATGGGTGGGTACCTTGCTTTTGACCCAGAGTACAAATAAAACCAAAACAAGCAAAACAGTTTTCCTAACAAATTCTACCTTCCTTTTAAAAATCTTTTGTTGGGCTTGGGCACTGTGCCTGAGCTCCTTTTGCTCAAGGCTAGCACTCTACCACTTTATGCCACAGCTCCACTTCCAGGTTTCTGGTGCTTAATTGGAGGATAAGAATCTTACAGACTTTCCTGGCCAAGCTGGCTTTGAACAGCCATCTTGATATCTCAGCCTCCTAAGTAGCTAGGATTACAGGTGTGAACTACCAGCACCTAGCTTCCACCTTCCTTGGTTTTATGGATGAACAACCACATCTGGAGAAAGGAGTCTACAAAATGTCTATTACACTAACAATGTCAAGACTGGAAGCTGGGGTTCAATCCATTGAATCCAGGCTGGAATTCAGAGGAGGCTGCTGCTAGGCACAGGATGAAACTGCATTGGAGAAGCAGTTGGGAACTGGTTCCACGTCTCTACTTTCTTAGATGATCTTAGACAAACTGCTGGGTAACCTTTTTCTCGCTCTTTGTACCAATCCTAGGGCTTGAACTCAGGACCTGGGTACTATCCTTGAGTTTTTTTGCTCAAGGCTAATGCTCTACCACTTGAACCAGAGGTCCACTTCCAGCTTTTTGGAGGTTAATTACAGATAGGATCTTACAGACTTTCTTCCCCAGGCTAGCTTCAAATTACAATCCTCAGATCTTAGCCTCTTGAGTAGCTAGAATTACAAGTATGAACCACTGGCTCCTGGCCCACAGCTCTTTGTGGGTGTGTGGGTGTGTGTACGCATATGTGCGCTGGAACTAGAGCTTGAACTCAGGGCCTTGTATCCTTCCTTGGCTTTTTTACTCAAGTAAGAAACTCTATCACTTGAGCCACACCTCTACTTCTGGCTTTTTTGCTGGTTAATTAGAAATAAGAGTCTCTTTGATTTGTCTGCCTGGTTTGGCTTCAAACTGGGATCCACAGCCTCTTAAGTAGCTAACATTATAGGCAGGAGCCAGTAGCACCCAGCCTGTACAACTCTTGGTCATTATGTTTTCATCTATGAAAAGGAACCCTTAGGGCTGGGAAGGTGGCTCAGTGGTAGAGTGCTTGTCTTACAGGTATGAGGCCCTGGGTTCGATTCCTCAGCACCACATAAACAGAAAAAGCCAGAAATGGTGCTGTGGCTCAAGCAGTAGAGCGCTAGCCTTGAGCTGAAGAGCTGGCCCAGAGTTCAAGCCCACAACCAAAAAAAAAAAAAAAAAAAAGGGGGGGAACCCTAATATCCCCTCTTCCCATCCTTTCTGAGGAAATGAAAAGAGGTTCTACTATAGAATCTTCTGGCTCTGGATTTTTCCCCCTTCCTGCCCTCTCCTCCAAAAAAAAAGAAAAAAAGAAAAGAAAAGAAGAAGAAAAATATATGCACATGCAAATACAGTTTTACATTCAGTATCAGGCAGTTCTCCTGCTCCCTGAAGCCCTCCTGAGGCGCTCAGACTAAGAAATCTCTTAATATACAACGGAAGAGAGTATTATTAATACCCTCTTTAAGCTGGCAGGAAGGACAGGATGGCACACTATACTCACATCATCTGAGTGAGACTCTTCTTTCTCCTCTCTTTCTCCTTCATCCGCAGTCTCTTCACTGATACTAGCTGGTGCATCTATCAAGCAGGTCCCCTGGGGTATTTCCTCACCCTCCGCTGTGTACACATGCTCTTCCTGTTCCACTGTCTCAGATTCCTCATACTTGAAGGGCACATTGCCATATCGCCGGGAAGAGCCTGTCTTGGGGAACTGGAGTTGCAGCTGGGTGATAATTCGTGGTGGTAGGCGGCAGGCCCGAATCAATTCTAAAAAGACTCTCAAGGGAGTCCCCACATTCCCATTGGGCATCAGCACTGGTGGGTTCAGCTCCGGGAGTTGTCTCAGGTCAGTGAGAGAGAAGGCTTCATTCTCAGCTTTCCGACTCTGCAGTTCCTTCCTGGTTTTAAAGGGAAAGGAGCCCAAACCTTAGGAAGAAGAGAGAAGAATGGGTTTTGAAAACCAAAACTTGAAGTAACACTTTGGGCTAGAAATCATAGTTTAAAGCTGTTGTCCTAATGTTATTCCCATTATAACTTCTCCAGAGTCCCTCCTCTCTTCCTATCAGAGCCCCCTGGCAATTACGTGCCATTGATCACCACTGTGGCTGAGCACACAAATTTCTTCTTGATTTGGCTCCTGTTGGTGTGTGTGTGTGTGTGTATGTGTGTGTGTGTGTGTGTGCGTGCGTGCATGCACATATGTGTGTATGCGTCAATACTGGGGTTTGAACTTAGCAAAAAAGATCAGGGATAATGCCCAGTCTTTGAGTTAAAGTCCTAGGACCAGTACACACACACAAACACACACCCCCACACCCCCACACAAACAACAACAAACCCAAAAATCATTATCCCAAAGACTGTTCCAAACCACAAGCTTGCATAAATGCAACCACAACCTTGTACAAAAACTACTTTTGAGTTCAATTGCCCAGCAACTGCCTGTTCAACCTTGAACCTATGCCACCCTTGTTATTGATCCTTGTAGTCAAGAGTGTTTCCAAACAACTTATTCAAATTTCATTTTGTCTCTTAAAGTTCTTGCCTTACTTTACCTCCCTGGATACACTTAGGGCTCCTCTATGGTCCACTATGGCACATGTATCCCCAAGGCAACTGAAATCCTTTTTTTTTCACTCCTAAATAAACTCTTTCTTGAGTGTTGGTCTCTCTGATGTTCATTTTAGGCTAATAGAAACACTAATTTCCTTTTTTTCCCTTCTGTGTCAGTGCAAAATATCGTCTCCTCAGAGAAAAGGGTCTCCGAAGGGTTCAAGTAGGTCTCCCTCCACCCGGAAATAAACGGAAGTACTAGTTAAACCTGAAACTCAGTCCACAAACGATTGAAGCTTGCAAAGTCATAACCAGAGGCCTGACTTTTCTCAGGAAGAGTGCCACTGTCCCGGGGCCCTTCGGCCCAGCTCGTTATCTTTATTCCTCATACCTGATGCCTCAGTGGGTAGCCTAAGTCTGTGGATGTGACAGCGTCCAGGAAGCCAAGTCCCTTGAGAATCTAGCCACCGGCGGCCTGAGTACATGCGAACAAGCTTCCGGGCCAGGGCCAGTCCCCGTACGGAGATGACGCAGCAGCAGGTGCGGGTCTGGCAGGTGCGGGTCTGGCCGCGGGCAGAGTTCCGCGCGGAGAGCGCGCGCGAAGCGGCGGCCGTAGTCTGGGCGAGGTCCTGGCTCTCGGCGGCGGGGTCGCTGGAAGGGAGGCCCGCGTCAGAGGCCTGGGCAGGGGCCCCCTCGGGCCGGTGCCGGTAGTGGAAGCAGAGGAAGCCCCCGCCGCGCTGCTCTCGGAACTGGCTGAAGTAGCTCCGTAGCTGAGCCGATCGTAATGCGGAGGGGATGCCCGTCACGACTAGGTAAACGGTAGCCTCTTCCTCCACCTCGCTGGGCGTCGCCATCATGGACTATCATGTGATCTGCTGGCGCTCGCGCGAGAACTCCGCGAATCGTTCTGGCCTCCATTTGGAGGGGGCGGGCGGCCCTGGGGTTCGTCCTGGAGCCTCCCTGTGCCCCAGGCTAGCGCTCTTCCACTTGAGCCACAGCTCTACTTCCGGCTTTTTGGTGGCTAATTACTGCCGGGACCGGCCTCGAACCCTCAGGTCTCAGCTTCCGGAACTCCAGAGGGCTTTTGATTTGTTGTTTTTGTTTTTGTCGGTCCTGGACTCTGGGCCTGGGCGTTGTCCCTCAGCTCTTCAGCTCAAGGCGGGCGCTCTACCACCTGAGCCACAGCGCCACTTCCGGTTTTCTGGTGGCTTATTGGAGATAGCAGTCTCATGGCCTGTTCTGCCCCGGCTGGCTTTGAACCTTGAGCCTCAGATCTCAGCCTCCTGAGTAGCTAGGATTACAGGTGTGAGCCACCGGCGCCGGGCTGTCCCTGTGAGACTTTTATCTCCAACTAACCACTCAAAAACCAGAGTGGAGCTGTGGTTCAGAGTGGTAAAGTGCTAGCATTGAGCAAAAGAGGTCAGGGGCAGTGCCTTGGCCCCCATGACCAGCACACACACACACACACACACATTAGTTGTTAATGGTCTCTTAAAAATCAGTCCTTCTAGCCGGGTACCAGGGGCTCACACCTGTAATCTTAGCTACTTGGGAGGCTGAGATCTGAGGATCACAGTTCAAAGGCAGCCCAGGCAGGAAAGGCCATGAGACTTTTTTTTTT